ATACTGTAAAGGGACACATCCATCATTTGCAACTGTTCCTCATTCGACCTCTCCTATTTGGAAGAGACTGGAAAGATATGGACCTCGTACTGAGCCTCATATTGCATGGCATCTCGAGATTGGGCAGATTTTCTTTTGGCATGATTGTTGGATGGGCGAGTCCACTTTGGCATCTATTTTCCCTCACAGGCAGCACACATCTGCGAGGGTGCAGGAATTTTTTGGAGAGACTGGATAGGATTTTGGATGATTACTACAGTTTTTTCCATCGGTCATGGCCGAGCAGATTGCATCCATTCCTCTCTGCCTTGATGTTTCGGATCGCATTTTCTGGAGGGCTACTTCAGATGGCAAATTCACTACGAAATCTGCTTGGCAGTTGATTCGCTCTAGCAGGCCAGTACAGGACTCCTCCCGATTATTTTGGAACCCTACCATACCTCCGACCGTTTCATTCGTCTGTTGGAGATTATGGCAGAACTTGATCCCAGTGGATGTCATTATTCAGCGCAGGATCGGTATTCAGATGGCTTCTAGATGTCAATGTTGCTCGGCCATTGAGACCATCACTCATATCTTTACTTGTACCAGTGTATCTGAGTATGTTTGGCAGCATTTTGGGGATTTATTTCAAATTATTATGAGTCCAGGAGAAAGTGTCAGACAGAGATTTCTTCGATGAAGGTACTCTGGACAGTTTGCTCGAGCCAGACATATTCGCATCATTCTCCCTCTCTTGATTTTCTAGCTTCTTTGGACCGAGAGAAATGATGCTAAGCACAGGAACATTCGCATCAGTGCGAGGCGTATCGTATGGAGGGTTTATCGTATGATTTATCTCCTTCATACTGGTGGATTATTTCGACCGTTACATTGGCGGGATAACATGCAGATAGCTCCACTTTTTGGTGTTTCTTTGACTCTTCCTTTATCTCCCTCCCCTATTATGGTATGGTGGCGCACCCCATCAGTTGGAACTGTAAAGATCAATACCGATAGTTGTGTCAAGGATGGACTCGTGAGTGGAGGAGGCATTATCAGGGATCACACAGGAAACTGCATCAGTGCCTTCTCAACATCTTATGGCCAGTGCTTGATTTTAGAAGCTGAACTTAGAGATATTCATGATGGTATACTATTAGCTAAAGATCTTGGACTATCAGACATCTGGATTGAGGCAGACTCCAGTGTGGCTATTCACTGCATTCTCAGAGGTGGTGGTCCGTGGACTATCCAGGGCATACTCCGACAAATTGTGAATCATCTTTCATTCATCAGAGACACTGGTTTCCCATATCTTCAGAGAGGGGAATCAAGTTGCAGATGCACTTGCTAACGAGGGCTGGCATTAGCGCAGATACCAGGTATATGGACCTACTGATTTACCACGACATATTAGGACTCTTGTTCAGATTAACAGACATGGCTTGCCCAGCATCAGAGTCTGATTCAGTGATAGTTTCTTTACATTTTGCACTTACTTCAAGTTTTTCTACATTTGTTCGATTTATAAGGGAAGTAGTACTTCCTTATTTACTGCTTTATTTTCCTTCTATTGTAAGGGAAGTAGTACTTCCTCGTTTACTGCTTTTACTTTACTTCTGCTGTAAGGGAAGTAGTACTTCCTTGTTTACTGCATTTCTTTACTTTAACTGTAAGGGAAGTAGTACTTCCTCATTTATTGCTTTATTTCATTTCAATTGTAACCACGGTATTCCTCCGCCACAAGTGAGGCCATATCAATAAACTCTTGGAGGTACCGCCCTCCTTCAACCAAAAAAAAAACCCTAAACCCTAAACCCTAACCCCTAACCCTAAACCCCAAACCGAAACCCTAAACCCCCAAACCCCTAAACCCTAAACCTCCTACGTTCCACTTAAACAGCCAGTGTCGTTTTTATAGCATGGCTAACAACCTTAGTCTAAAGGAGCCATTTAGCTGTTCTCTGGTTTGTATAATGCTGAAGGCACCATTCTTTCCTTCCAAAGTTACATCTCCACGTATTGTGAGCAGTAGACGACAAAACCATTTAAAAGAGGCAAGAACGAAAATGGAGCTCTCAATCACACAACCTGATGATTGGCATCTACATCTTCGTGATGGTAAACTTCTTGAAGCTGTTGTCTCACACTGTTCAGATCACTTTGGAAGGGCCATTATCATGCCTAATCGTAAACCTCCTGTCACCAAAACATCTGAAGCCATGGCATATCGGGAGGCTATTTTGAAAGCACTGCCAGAATCTAGTAAATTCACTCCTCTGATGACTATTTACTTGACAGACACGACACCTCACGAGATCAAACTGGCAAGGGAGAGTAGGGTTGTATTTGCTGTGAAGTTGTATCCTGCTGGTGCTACTACAAATTCTCAACATGGTGTAACAAATCTATTTAGGAAGTGTTTACCTGTACTCGAAGAAATGGTTCAGCAAAACATGCCTTTGCTTGTCCATGGAGAGGTTACAAGTCTTGATGTTGATGTATTTGATCGAGAAAAGGTGTTTATCGACGAAGTTCTCGATCCCTTAATACAAAAGTTTCCACGATTGAAGGTTGTGATGGAGCATATTACTACTAAGGATGCTGTGAAATTTGTCGAGTCTTGCGATGATGGATTTGTTGCAGCAACTGTCACACCGCAGCATCTTGCTCTTAATAGGAATTCAATTTTCCAAGGAGGATTGTAACCTCATAGTTACTGCCTTCCTGTTCTTAAGAGAAAGACTCACAGACAGGCACGTGTATCAGCTGTGACCAGTGGAAGTCAAAGATTCTTTCTTGGAACCGATAGCGCTCCTCATGAAAGAAGAAAAAAAGAGTGCTCTTGTGGATGTGCTAGTATTTATAATGCGCCCGTAGCCTTGTCACTATATGCAAAGATTTTTGAAGAGGCCGGTGCACTCGATAAACTAGAGGCTTTACAAGCTTTAATGGACCTGATTTTTAAGGTCTTCCTAGAAATATATCAAAAATTAATCTGACTAAGAACCCGTGGAAGGTACCGGCATCATATTCTTATTCATGGGGTGATATTATTCCTATGTATGCTGGTAAGACCCTTGAGTGGCTACCATCCCCTGCTTAAAGTTTTTGACATTGTTTTATTCATGTTGAAATTGTATGGAATTGTACCTCATTCAAATAAATCTAGATGCAAAACAGATTTTCGTTTAAAAAAAAAACCCCAAACCCCAAACCCTAAGCCCTGAACCTCGAACCCCGAACTCTAAAACCCTAAACCCTAAACCCTAGACCCGAGACCCTAAACCTGAAACCCGAAACCCGAACCCGAATTCCTAAACCCTAACCCCTAACCCCCAACCCCTAAACCCTAAACAGCAGTGCGATCAAGATGGCGATCAATGCCAGTTCACCCTCTTACTTGGCGATCGACAGATGAATTAATCTGTTCTTCATTGTAACTATTAGAACATTCAATATTTCGTATCTCATACTTTGTAATGAATATTTGATAATAAAGGACCTTTTTGAACGTATTTCGTTCCTGTGTTATTTATCTATGGTCATCTACGTGTCGAGAGGTGAGTTTAGGATTTAGATCAAATAGTAAAATTCGGTAAATTAATGATCAAGTCCTCAAACCTTTTAAGTTAATGCAATTCAATCCTTGAGTCCACTAAATTATTGCAACCCATGTATTCTTTGATTCAATGCTAGTCCTTCACTTTTCAAAGTATGAAATTTGATCTCCAAAATTGTAGATTTTGTCCTTCTTCCTTTCCAATTGCTTAGAGACTAGTCCATAACTAAAAATAAAACAAAATTAACCCAAATTAAGTAGAAATTAATAATTTGACGACATAAAAGTTTAATAATATAGTCCAAATAAGTGTATAAAATACACTTATTAAGGGCCAGCCAGTTTCCACATCAAATGATCAACTAGTCGCTCGACCTTCGGGTCCGATCAGCAGTACGCACATGACCGGTAGTTCTATATATGTTGATCCTCTCTTGGAGGATATGTTGGAGAGGCCACGGGTCTCGAGTGATTTGAATTTGGAGGCTACTTTATCCACTAATCAATCACACTCTGAGAGTTTCTCTCATATTGAAGTTCACCAACGGGGCCCTTTCCGTAGATCCTTGTCGGATGATTTAGTTGGCATGGTTGACCAGGACGGAGGATGATGGTTTTGTTCCAGATGAGTGCTATCATTTGGAATGTGAGAGGTATAGCTAGTGTAGCTACTCTCGGACACCTGAAGAAACTTATCCAACTTCATGATGTCTATATCTTGGTAATTTTGGAGCCTATGGTATTAGAGAAGAGTTTTGACTTTGTTCACCATTATTTGTACTTTGACTATGGAGTTCAGAATGAGTCGAACAAGATTTGGTGTTTCTGGTGTGTGGTTACGGATATTACTTTTCTTCAGGATCACAATCAATTCTTACATATTAAAGTTACTGATCCCAAACTAGCTAGACCTATTTGTATGACGCTTGTCTATGCTGCATGCGAAGCATCGGTTAGGAAGGATTTGTGGGAGGGTCTTCACCACATCTCCATCTCCATGGATGATCCTTGGTTAGTTAGTGGAGATTTTAATATCATTGCTCATGATGGTGAGCGTACAGGCCATAGTAAGAGAGATCGTGGGTCTACTGCTTTTTCTGATATGATGCTCGATTGTGGTCTTGAGGACGCCGGATTTTCTGGGTCTCAGTTCACTTGGACTAATGGAAGAGTTAGTAAAAGATTGGATAGATTCATGATTAACCCTATAGCTACCGATTTTTGTAGACAGTTTACTGTGACGCACCTGAATCGGACCTCTTCTGATCATTCACCCCTTCTCCTCCACTGGACATCTGATGATCATTCACCCTTTCGATTTCTCAATGTTTGAACGAAACATCATGATTTCTCATCCTTCGTCTCTCAAAAGTGGTCACTCCCTACTCATCTTACGGGGATGGCTGCTCTTTGGGGGAAACTCTAAAGTTGATGGGCAGTAGTGGAAATGAAACCCAAACAGGGACAATGGGAGTCTCATGCTAAGGGCTGAAACTAGGCATCCATTTGGTTACTCTCATTGGACACCCGTCAATGTACCAGGTAGGCTTAAGGAATAACCGAGAATAATCGTCCTCGTGTGCCAAGTGAATCAAAATATGATAAGCATCTATCAATTCTATCATATAATCACCGTGAAATCCAAAGCGCAAAAAACTATCGCGTACTTTAATCATAGAAGGCTTAGGATGAGAAAATTTTCCAACAAGTGTGAACTTGTATGGTGTAGAAAGATGTTCCTTCTCCACTTCTATAAATAAGACCGCCGGNTCCTTCTCCTCTTCTGTAAATAAGACTGTCGGCTCACCATTATGTATATACGGGTCTTTAGAGACCAACCTGTAATCAGGGGCGTCGTGTGGAACTTGAAGAGCCGGTGGAAATGACTTTTTCTGACTTCACTCAGTCTGAGATATAACAGTTTTACTTGAAATGGTAGCAGCATACGACTTTCAAATTTGATTTGGCAACTTAGGGATCTCGATCGGCGAATCCGTCGATGGAATTGTGCGTAGATTAACTGGGGCAACATTCCGCCCAAAAATTGTTGGGGCGCCACCAGTGGGCCGCCGGCCGGCCGCCGGTGGCTGCTTCAGGCGGCCATGGACCTCCAGACTCAGAATTCGATGATTTTTTACAGGGTAGTGTGGAATTTCATGCTGAACATGGCAGTCAGGCGCGTGGTCGGAGATGAGGTCAGGACTGGCCGGAATTTGAGTTTTTCGGACCTGCTGGGCGTTCACGTTTGGGTTGATTTCGGGCGCTTCCGAGCTCCGATCGGGCTGATTTTTTTTCAAAGCATCGTATCCTCATGGGAAAGATGAATATCCAATACGTGTAGCAAGGTGGGTCTCACAACAGGAGGAATCGAAAAATTAGTCGCGAATGGCACGAAATTCGAAGTTTTGATTTCGACCAAATTGGTCACGTCCGACACTACCCCAGGGATTTTTGGGCCTTCTGAGATCAATGGCGGTGGTCCCATCACCAAATTCTGAGTCGAAGTAGGTGAAATGAGTGCATTGGGATGAGCTCCACTCGTTTTTTGGTTCAAACCAGATCTGATTTCCTCAAACATTATTGCTGATTGTTGAAAGCCACTCGTTTTTTGGTTCAAACCAGATCTGATTTCTTCAAATATTGTTGCTGATTGTTGAAAAGTTGTATGGGAAGGTGTTGGAGGTTTGTTGTCATCGGTAGTGGTGGTGTTTTCCTATGGTTTTGGTGGTGGATCAAGGGTGTTAATGGATTTATCTTTATCTCCCATTTTAGAGAGAATGAATAGTCATTTACGCTATCATATAACCAACTTGCAGTCAGATATATGCCCCCCCTCCTTTCATGTATTTCATTTTATTATGAAATAAAATAGCCACACTAGTGGTCTTTGCTTAAAAAAACACCCTAAACCCTAAAATTGTAAAACATTCTTCACATTCCACTTTCTCTCTCTACCTTCAAAACGCTATCCCTTCTCTCAAGAATGGGAAAAAACCTCAAACCTTTAACAATCTTGATCCTCCACCCGAAATACCACCTCGACCTGATGATTTTCAATCCCTGCCAACCCCAAATTTATCATATATATCAACCTCCCATGGTTTTGGAAGCAATTAAAGTGGATTCAAATTAAAATTATGAGGGCACATTTTCCAATGTCATTGAAACTCCATCCTATGCACCAAATCAGGGTTTGGGACCATCATCAATAATTCCACAAAGTTCGAAAACCCTAGGGGTGATGATGGTGGCGACCAAATCGAACAGAAATGAGAGATCGAATCCCGAACTATCGAAAACTGATTTTTCAATTAAATCTTCTACGGTCAGTACCTTGATGCATGCGCCGCACCATCAGATTGACCATGAGGAGACGAACCTTCACCTGAAAAATCAGCCTTATTCTGACGCCAGATGGGCCGACAAAGGCGTCGAAAAGTTACGACCATTCGACCTGTAAAATACAGATTTCGGCCAATCCCAACCTCTTCTCCGACGACATGCCACACCGCCAAGATCAACATGAAATTTCCCATCTTTCTACAAAAATTCATAATTCCGCATCAAATTCCGGATTCCAACTGCTTACGGCAACCTTCTGAGCAGAATGTTGGGAGTTCTGTTTCGATCCCAGTTCCATCATCAGATTTACCACGGGAGGTCGCTACAGTAACTAATCAAGCTAGAAAGTCATATGCTGCTGCACTTTTTGAAAAATCTATTATCTCTCAGGCTAAGTGCAGCCAACGGAATTCTTTTGCACACATTTTACAAGCCACACGAGACTCCACTGACCCTAGGTTCGCCGCTAAGGAACCTTTCATGCATATGGGAGAGCCTACAAATGTATTTACGGAGGAGAATGAGGATCTTCTTTCTGAGCCATTCGCGTCGCAAGCCTTCCATGATTAAGGTGCGTGATAGTTTTCTGAAATTTGGATTTCGTGGTGATTATATGATTAGGTTTATTGATGCTATTCATATTTTGATACACTTAGCACATGAGGACGATTACTCACGATTATTTCTTAAGCCTTCTTGATATATTGATGGGTGTCCCATGCGAGTTATTAAGTGGAGGCCTAGCTTTAACCCTTAGCATGAGACCCCTATTATCGTCGTTTGGGTTTCATTTCCATTACTGCC